GGGGCAGTAATATTATAATGAGATCCCTTTGCAACGTCACTAGGGGAGCGAAATCAGACGCGCTCGTTTTTTCAGACGGTTGCAGAAAAAGGCTTCCCAAAACAAAGTTACTGAGTTAATAATCTTTTTCACGTTTCCTTGGTTGGTAGATGCACCGGAGACCTGATTATAGCACTTACAACCTGGAAAAGTCTGATTTTCATGATATGTCACCTGTACTGTTAAAACTGTTACTTGAAATAAATGTTAACTGAAATAAAATAAAATTACTATTCTTTTTATTTCGGCTAGCTGCCAAGGCAACATTTCTCATTTTTGTTTAGTTTACCTTAAAGCACTAAAATAACTAATATGAAATAAATTACCACTAATATAATAAAGTTAAATATAAAAGAAAAAAACTAATAAAAATGACAAAAGCACATAAGAAAATTACTAAAACTTAAACTAAAATAAATATTTTAAAAAGTTATTGTGAATTTGGATTCAAGATTTGGAAGCATATATAATTTCTATCATTTTCTATCATTTTTATGAGTCATTTTAATATAATTTAGATTAATGACAGCTAATTGGATCTTATACTAAACCTTTTGAAGTAGGTGGATTTTTTTACAGCGTTGTTCATTATAGGTGTATGTTAGAAATTAAGCCTCTTATTATTAAAAGTAACATTTTTTATATTTTATTATTAAAAGTGACAAAAGTTATATTTTTATTATGCAAATAAAATGATTAAAATGCAGAGACTTTAATGTGTTAATATTTTAATGTGTACACTATGTGCTTTCACATAGTCTTGCCAAACAAATTGATTTATTTAATCATTGATTTATTTTAATTATTTAAAAATAAATCAGAATGTTTAACTTTTGGTTTATGTCATTACTAATTAATTTAATTATTTAATATTGAGGCTATCGCAGTGAATCTGGTCACCAAATGCTTTTATATATACAACGTTTAATATCTTTAATTTTTTTGCATTTGCAACGTTTTCTTAATGACCTATTTGTTTGTCATGTAAATGTATTCTATGCATTCATGCCATTTTGTTTTGCCCTTCTTTCCAATCAGGTATGTGAAATACGGACCAGATCAGAGCGAAACAGTATCAAGTTCAAACAATCCCAATGCAACTGTATTCAATGCATATTCAGCACGAAATGACAGCGTCGTCACCGCTCATATCACACGCATTCATATGCATCCAATGCCTTATGATCGTGCATGCTGCTTCATATGTTTAGTTGAGGACGGAGGAAGTTAGACTTCATGAGTGCATCTGCCCCACTCCTTGAGCTCGGAGCCCGAATCACAAGACCCACAATCAGACCGCGCGCGCTGCGGCTGTACTCACATCTTTCTTGGGGATTTTGGGAGTGCTGTTCTTATATTTGGACGTCTTGAAGCGATTCATGCTGAGCTGCTGGTCGCGCGTTTGAACCTTCCGGGTGTCTCGCTGTTGTGAAAGTGATCCTGACCTGTGCGTTTGAATGAGTGCGTTCATGTGACGCAGAGCTGATTTACAAACCATAAACTCGCACTAAAGGCGCCTCAGTAAATCACGCCATCTCTATGTCTCTGCGAAATAAAAACGCGGAAAAAATCGTTTCCGCCAACAGATATATTACAGTTAGGCTTGCACTTCCTCTGTAAAAACTGAGATTAAACTGTCAGAAAAGCATTTTATAGATAGGCTATCCCATAATCAGTGTTGGGGAAAGTTACTTTTAAAAGTAATGCATTACAATATTGCGTTACTCCCTAATAAAGTAACTAGTTACGTTACTTAGTTACTTTTTATGGAACGTAAGGCATTGCGTTACTTTTGCGTTACTTTTTAAAACTGGGCTAAAAAAACACACACAAATGTTATGTTTATCTAAACTCACTTTTGCTTATTTGTATGGTTGAATTGGATCAATTGGATCAAGGTCAGTAGCAAAGTCATTGGTTAATAAAATGGGATTAAATACATAAAGCAAGGTTTGTGTGGTTTGTGTCATATTTTGAGTTTGCATTTTTACTGTTTTTATTCATTTTGAGGAATGCTGAATCTGTTTTGTGCAGGTGAGATGAGTAAATACATGTTCATATTTAGTCTAGAACTACAGTAAGATCATGTTCACACTCAACGCTCTGCACTTACTCCTGATTTCTCTCAACATGGCAACACAAGAGCTGTCAGTCAATACATGGGAAACAAAGTAACTTATTAAAGTAATGCGTTACTTATTTGAAAAAGTAATTCAGATATTTTCTTGTAAATGAAAAAGTAATGCGTTACTTTACTAGTTACTTGAAAAAAGTAATCTGACTATGTAACTCACATTACTTGTAATGCGTTACCCCCAACACTGCCCATAATACATTTAAAAATACATTTTGGTCAAAAAATAAACGTTTTCTAGAATTTCCTTGCTACTTTTTAAGCATAAGTTGAAATTAAACGGTCTTTTTACAGTACATTTCTATGAATAAATTAATAAATAAATATTTCTAAAAATAAATCAATCAACTTTGAACAAGTGTTATTTTAGTATGATTGAGATACTATTATAGATTTTATTCATATATTCAATTTGTTTTTATTTTTATATTTTCTGTTTTCATTTTAATTTTAGTTAAAATTGTAGTAATTTTGTTTTATGTGTCATTTTTTATTAGTTTTTTTTTTTTTGCATATTTACATATTTATTATTTCCATTATTCATTATTTCATTAAATTAAAAGAAAATGAGAAATGTTGCCTTGGCAACCATCTGAAACAAAATGTACATTTTTTACATTTTATTTTATTTTACTTAAAATTGATTTTATTTCAAGGAATGAATAAATAAATAATATTTATTGTTGAATTTATTATCTGCATCTATTTTCTGGAATTTCATCGATATTTTTTAAAGTATTATTATTATTATTATTTCAGTTAAGACAATAACCTTTCTTGTTAGTCTAAAAATGGTAGTCATGATGTGTAAAATAATATCTATGCATTCTACAAATTAGAACTGTGCTGCGCTGGACTTTTTTTATGTCATTTATTTTTATTAGTCTATTCACTTTTCTTTTCAATAATTAGTCCAACTGAAAGCCATTATAATCGTGGATTACCCAAATTGTTTGAATATGCTTGTATAACACATTTTAATCATATTGGCTTTGCACTGTATGGGATAAATTCCTCAACTTCAGCTTCAGAGTCCACTCTGCTTCAGCTCACACGTGTTCGTTAAAGGGATAGTTCACCCCAAAATGAAAATTTGATGTTTATCTGCTTACCCCCAGGGCATCCAAGATGTAGGCGACTTTGTTTCTTAAGTAGAACACAAATTATGATTTTTAAGTCCAGCCGTTGCAGTCTATCAGTCGTATAATGCATGTGTCTGGGAGGTCCACGGGGCGATGGTAGTTGGCCCCGAGCCAGAACAGAGAATTAATGGTGGCGTCATCGAGGGCCATAGCCGTGGCGAGCCTGCAGAGCTCCCAGGAATACTCGACAAAGGGGAGATCTAGGCGAGCTAAGGCGGAGAACCGAGCAGCAATTTCAATAGCCGCGGGGAAAACAAGGGAAACAAACTTCTCAAAAAGGCAGAAAAAACAAACGCGAGGAAAAGTCGCCAGTCACTTTTTGTTTGGTCCGGTATTCTGTCACGGGTTGCTACGGTGCAGAAAAATGGAACGAGGAGACCAGGCGCTCAAAACCAAGGACTTTATTATTATCACAGGGAATCACATGTAGCACAAGGAGTTGACATCAACAATACCGGACAAACCAACAGGGAACAGAACACTCTTTAAATAGACTGAACAGGCTAATGGGAAGTCGAGACACACCTGGAGCTGATGAGACAATAAACATAGGAAACACCTGGGACAAATAATAAACAATCAGGGAGCAGGAACAGGAAGACCAAATGGGGGCATGGAAACATAAACATGTGACAACTATCAACTAGATGTTGTTCCCTCAATATGATCTCATGGCCACTACATATTATCACGTTCCCACGAATTAATATCTCGTGGCCACGACAAAACTAAACCAAAAAAACTCAAGCTTCATTTTTTTTAAACTTACAGTTACAGTCATTTCTTAATTTATGCCAGGAGTTATGTAAATGAAAAACAAAGTCGAGATCGATATGAAGTTTGAGTCGTAGACCTTTTTAATGTTGCAAAACTTTATTTTCTTTTGCAAAACTTTATTATTTTGCATATATATGTGGCATTATATTGACTCCATATGCCTACTCTTCTACTACACACTCAAAAGTGTGTACTTTTCTTCACCAAAAGAGTACATACATTAAGGGCGCAGGCACATTGAGACGCAGCATCAGTCTTCACAGCAGTGCGCATGCGCTTACTGCTCGCACATGCGCAGTCGCTCTCGTGTCGGTGAGGGGCAAAGATGGCGTGTTCTGCGGCTCGCAGCTCCGCACGCTGGGTCACAGTGGCCGTGTCTTCCAGCCACAGACGGGCCTGCTCGCCTCTGCTCTCCAGCGCGGATGGAGCCTACAGGAGCCTCTCGACGCTGTCCGGCCGGCAGATGTGGACGGCGCGCGGCGTGAGCGCCGGAGGAGCCGGGGCTGCGGTGACATTGAGAGGCATGACAGGTGAGCGATAAAGGCCCGAGCATCTAACCACACACACACTACTAACTCTGATTTCAAAAGCTGAGCTTATAAATCAGGTCTGATGTAATAGATATAGATCGAGCGTTATATGATAGATGACATGTAACCATCAAAGATTCATTTGTAGGTCAGAAAGCAAACATAGTTCTTGCATTCAACTCTAAATCAATGCATGCACACCTGATGCCTAATCAATACTGTGCGAGGAAGAGTTTGGGTCAGATGAGCAATCACAGACCTGGTTTGGCTGAGTTTCCAGAAACTTCTCTGACCTTGTTGGAGCTCAGCAGTGACTGTCAGCTGGACGAATAAAGACACAAAGAAGTCTGCCATGAAGAAAATAATCAAAACATTTCCAAAACGCCGATGGGAATGTTGTGGTGTAATGTTTTGCTCAGTTTTAACATTGTAGATTTCTGTTTGCATCTCTATTTGGTTCCTAGAATTGACCTGACCTGAAATTAACCATAGTACACCTAGTTTAGGGCTTAGTTGTGTCGTCACTGTTTAGATCCATGCAAATTGGATCACTAATTAAGAAGTCACTAATTATGTAATTATTGCATACTTTGGTCAAAACTGTTTACCATGGTAAATATTGTGTAATCAAATATATTATTTGCATCTATTTTCTGGAATGCCATTGATATTTATTAAAGTATAATGATGATAATATTAATTTGTTAATGTTAATCCTTTGAAAACAACCCATATATTTCTAATGAATTAATTAACCCCTTAACTGTCACCGTCCCACCTGTGGGACGCTTGGCACTCTTTTTTGTTGTCCTTTTTCTCTATCAAATCTTTTAGTAATCATCATAAATATATATCATTTGAAAGCTTAGAAGCCCAAAATTCATCCTGTGATGAAATCGGACACTGCGTTACCATGGAAATGGTACTTAAAAATATTTTGGCGGTCTCCTCCCCCTTAGTGGGCGGTGTCAAGTATCATATTACAAAATGCATTACGCTCTTTTACAATCAAAACTTTTTATTTGTGATAGAAAGTAATATTGACAGAGAAATCTAGACATTTGTGACAGAAAAACGCATAAAAAAAATGAATGGAGTTTTGATGGCACCCGGTGGCTGTTTGTGGTATATCACCCTAAATAAACTCTCACAGAAACCTCAATTTTTTTTCATATCAACTTCAAATTTGGAACATAACTTATTTAGACATAAGGCTTTAATTTTATACCAATTTTATAGTAAAACCTGTTATGTAAAATATTTATTATATATACAATTTTATATAGTGCATTTTCTTTACGGTAAATTTAAACTAGCATAACTTTTTGATACTTTAATTCTTTAAAAACATTCCACTTTTGCGATAATCGGCTGATTTTCTTCTTTAAAAAGAGACCAACCTTATGTCTGTATTCCAAAAGTGTTCATAAATTACAACAATTTAAGTTTGGATAGTGCACCTGCATGCCTATTTTAAAAAA